TACAGAATGCTCCTGGCTCAAATTTTTCCTCTGTTAATTGACTTTAAAAAAATCTTCAATGAACTTCTACTACCGGTAATAATAATTTGCTGTATATAATATTATGCTGTATTACATATTATATTATAGCATGGATGTACATCCATGATTATAGTAAAACCCAGTATAATTGTATATTTTCAGCTTCGCTGTCATCAAAGATAACAGGCAGAGGTGATTGTCTAGCGACCTGCATCAACTTTTTTTTTTACAAACAACTTCTTAACTGTTAACTCCATTGCTTTCATACTTGTATATGTCCGTACCTATGGTGGATGTCTATTATATTTGAAAAATATTTTGAATTCTCTAATTTTAAAAATTTTGTTTGTTTGAAAACTCTAATTCGCTTTGATACTTTGGTATATGTGTCTCATAGGTGGATCACTTATAGACTTGACAATATCTTCAATTCTGTAATTTCAGCAAATCATTTTTTGCAATTTTAAGGCTTTGACTTCTTCATAAAAAACCTCTACTTCGATTGCTTTTATATTTAATATATATGTAATTTGACCTCTAATAGATTTTAATATTTTGTGAGGATATCTTGATTTCTTAAATTTTAGCAATCATTTTTGATCTTGTAATACCTACACCTGTAGTTTGTTGTGTTTTTCAGCTGTATCAAGAAGCTGAAGAACTTTGTTTACAAGTGTATGGTGAGAATAGTGTATTGTCTGGGCGCTTATTAATGAATACTGGTATATTGGTAGAAGAGATGGGAGACTATGAAGGTGCTTATGATTACTTCAGAAGGGCATTCAAGAACAAAATTGAGGTACAGTATATAATATCAATCACATTAAATGTTACCATTATTGTTTTACTTAGGTGCTCCTTTAGCTGAATATTGTACGAACTATTTTATATTATTATTGCATTTCAGTGGAATTTTGTTTCGAGCATTATCACTATGGTATCAGTGATAAGTCATTATTTCTCATCACCACTACCTGCACTATCCATCTATTCAACTTTATACTTGCCATGTTTTCCACTTTCCTGCCTTTCAAATATCATATTCAATTTGGTTTCTCTATGATACTCAGAATTATTGTAAGCGCAAATAAGATTCTTTTGCAAAAACATCTCTTGCACACTTCTTAGTATTCTTGCTTTTTTCTTTTTGAGTGTTTCTTTTTATTGTTTATCCCCATCCAGGTATATGGCCGGGATCACCCACAGACCAGAAAAGCAATCAGATTACTTGAAGAACCAACTTACAAACGTATTGCTCAACACAGAGGAGAACATCCCATTGAGTATTAAATGTGTGTTCTCATTGTGGTTTTTCCATCAGGTGTATGGAAGAGATCATCCACAGACAAAGAGAGCTATCAGATTGATGGAGGAAACCACATATAAAAACATTGCAGCACAGAGAGGAGAAAACCCTCTGGAAGACTTCTAGTTGTTAACATCATATTTAGTTGAATTATATCATAACCTGACGTATGAGTGAATCACAAAGTACTTCTGTCAATTCTGTGACGTTATCCAGATCTCACACATGTAATTTATTTACATATTCATTGATTGGTAACTTGACTAGCTAAGAGATTACATGGTTTGACTGTATTTATTGTAATTGATGTAACCAATACAGGGTAAGGTGTTATATTCATTTGTGCAATTGTGGTTGTATCTAATTACAGTAAAACTTTGTCATTACTAAAACAAAAACTGACCTAAACTACTTTCAGTACCATCTGTAGTCTATATTCACCTACTAAATTGAACTCATTTTTCAGGTCAGACACATTTATAAAAAACATAGTTTTTCTTTTTTTATCATGTTTTTTTTTATATTGAACATCATTATTTACATTTTGTGTTGTTTTATACACGTATGCTGTAGTTTTGTATTGCTTTAGATAATGCAGATTTTACAGTTTATTATTGAAAATTTTCTTTTTTTCTTGTGGAAAATTTCATTATTTCAATCAAATATCTTCACAAATAATTTCATGACATCTTCTATACTGATTTTGTTACACACTTTCGAAGTTAACTTCTGATAAGTGTTTTCTGATAAGTGGTATAACAAATCCATAAAATGGACTGAAAAGCTGAAACCTGCAGTAAACCCTGTCCATAGACCAGCATATTCAGATGAAAATAATATGCTACTTACTTTACTACAAACATCCTTTTTAAATTACAATTTACCAAATAATTACAACTGTTTCTAGCCAATATTGTATAAAAAAGGTCTTTGTTTTCATCAATGTAATGGAAAAATAGAAATTCATATGGAAAATATTGTATACCAGTGAATTTATATTCATGGCCAATTTCATGCATGCCCTTAACTCTGTGCCTTTTTAGTTGTTATATATCATATGCTCCTCTGTAACTAATAAGTTCTTTCAAGTTCTCCAAACCTGTCTCCGATTATTCATGATAAACAGTTCCAGGATATCTCGATGCCTCCACCTAGCAGTATATTTACATTTTATTTTTTTTCTAAGATGAAATTTTATATTATGTATTTACTAATTACCACATGTTTGATTTCATAGAATGTTTATTATTATCCATATTTTGACTGCTTATTTACTAATATTACTAGTAATACAGTGTTTCTGTGTCAATATGTCGAATGTGTATGTAGTTATGCCTACAGCATAGTTCATTTCTCACTTTAATCACAGTAATATCATCAGAGAATGGAATTTACATAGTGAAGTCATACCAGTTTTGAATGTTGACCATTGGATAAACTCAATGGGTTAACCATCTGGCCCTCAGGTGCTTATAAAATCGGTCACCTGGGGGTCCTCGAATTCAAATTTTATCTGTCTAGTAAACTGTCATAAAAAATTAGGGCTGTCCAAAAAAAGTTGAAAAGATTACCTTTTAAGCTCAACCGTAGTTTAGCAGAACTATACTGATAATGCTTTGATCGGCGTCTGAATAGATGGATGTGGGGGACTTCTAAAAAACTGCTGATCCGTGTTGATAGGTGTAGATAATTTTTTTTTATGATAAGTCAATGCGTCAAAACTTATGCAAATTAGCTACCAAAACTATAAAAATGTTTAAATGACTTCTTCTATGACACTACTTAGTCATCTTCGCCAGCCAATGACCATTTATTCGGCCAAAACCTCAACATTAACACTTGGAAGATTTCAAGATTTACTGCGTGTCGCACGCTCTCAAATGATTATAAGATTCACTTTGGATCATTTGCATCACCCAATCGGAACTCACGAAAGAAACTACACATTTCTTGGTAAAATTAAAATGGCGGAATCAAATAAAAATGTTGCTAGCTTTTTCTCTGAACAAGTGCCACTTACAATCAATGTTCCTCATTAGCATATTTATCCCCACAAAAACATGGTGAGAAAAACGTGCCAAGTGAATGCAGAATAGACGAGTTGTTTAAATTTACCATCATAAAGTATCTCACAAAGTTATTAAATATCAGTTCAAAATGTAGAATATGGGCGTTCAAAAAATTTAAATCGACATCACAAATAAAAATCTGTTAAAAATTCGACAATTATGAATCATGCATTATGTCACCTAAACTAAACAATGGTTCTATAATTTTGAAACTTAGTCTGCAAACTTGTCTCGCACCCCTGGGTGTCTTCAGCAAAATTACCATGACTGGGCGATTCTGTAGCATTATTCATGATATGTAGTGGCATTGTATGACCCAAGAATTGATCACTTTCTGAAAGAGAAATAGGCGTGCGCTTGCGCAAAAGATTCTACGCGACAGGACACGCATACGTAGAACAGATTGAACCAAAAGCTGCCTTACTTATTGGCCCTTACAATTAATTCTACTAATTAGTATATTTATCACCGCAAAAACGTGATGACAACTATAGAGGGCGCGGAAGAACAGATCAGTTGTGGTAATTTCGAGTCAATGCGAGAGGTTCTACAAACTCGTTCTAAAGGAATTATCGTATAAAACAATAAAATTGCCACGACTGGGCCAGTCTAAGGACTCTAGCGAGCGTGCAGATAACGCTTACTTGAGAAGAAATACCGGGTTCGTACCCGATAAGGAATACACACATCATTACACTTATTCCAGCTTTATTCATCCAAACCACCAGCTGAGGTCACGCCTCGGTTGCTTCTC